TTTTAAAAAAAATTAATTTGAGGCTTAGTACAAGTGAAGAGCTGGTCGATGTTTTATCTTTGGTTGAGCGGCTCCCCGCTCCTACTTGAGAGTTCAAAGCGAAAACTGTGAGTCCACGCACAACTCTCTCCCCTCACTCTCCCCGTCCGACGCACGACGTGCGCGCGCGCGCGTTCTTTCATCACTGGAAGAAGAACGCGCCACAGCTCAACCAGCAGCCCTCGTTCAACTCGCACGACCAGGCCCGTCTTCCCTCAATCTACTTCCCACGGTGGATCTACCCGCTCCAGCACAGCGTACAACTTTGTTTTCTTCTTCTTTCATGACCTGATATTATTCCGCGGAGTCGTGTGAGTCTACCTCGGTGTTTGTAAGCGGATTGCTTCGAGGTCAGCCTGCAGGCGACGGGAGAGTAGACGGAGAACGCTCCAAGGAGTCGAAAAACACGCGTTGCATAATCGGAGAAACAAGGAAATAAAAACGTCAGAACAAGCTCAGAGCCTGCTAAATCTCAGGCTGTGCACTTTTCTGTCACTGATACCCAGGATATCCACACCTGATACCCTGGGAAATTGCATCAAGCTCGTTACAAATTCATGGAATTACTATTTTCAACGACGCTAACGGAAAGAAATACGAACTCCAATATCTTTGCACTAGTATAGCATAGCGCAGCTCAAGTTCGACCTTTTCAGGAAAGGTCACTGAGAATGCAGCTCGCGAATTGACGAAAGTATCAACACGGCACTTTATGAATCACGACAAATGTCAAGAGTTGCGACCTGTGAACCCTCATGGTTAAGACTGTTGCCGCTTCTCTTAAAGAAGGTAAGTACGTTCAGAACTTTCAATTATGTTGTGCACCATAGGCCCTGTTGAGCGTGCTTGCAACTAGTTTGGTAATGCCCAACGACCATGATCAAATCAAAGGCAGTCTCAATGCCATTCATATTCCATAGAACATATTATAATCCCCCGTAAAAGTCGAGTCCAGAAAAAAACTAGGAATAAAAAGTATTGAACTTTTGGGTTCGATCGATAAAGACGTGTTTGCGTTAAGAATAATCAGGCAGACGAAGTGAAAGAGATTTAACATTCGGAAACAAAACACAAAAAACAACACTGAAGCCAGAAAATGAACCATTTGCCTAATATAGAGAAACCAAACTGTCATGAAGTCTGTCATTTACCGGGTCTCTATTATCAGCATTATCCAATAGCTATCCTCCCCATCAACTCCGTCCAGTGATCTGAGAGTCGCGACGGACACAGATACCAGAAACTTTTTCCGTTGTGGTCGCCAAACGGGGAACAAATGTGCGACCACACTGATGATGCAGACCAAAATGGATAGCTTGGCCTTTTTATTTTTGGTTTGAGCCTGCCTTGTAAGAGTTGACCTCTCTTCGTGGTGGCGGAGAGGTTGTTTCGACGGCGACGTGTGCCGCCAGTCAGTCTCCGGGCTAAAGAAAGTCGTCAGAAAATAATAACTGAAAACATTTAAAGGTGAGTATATCCACCTTGCTCGTGACTTTTCAAGTGGAAATGACATTTTTTAATATCCTCATCTTTCTGCAGGATGGTGCTATCCTTTTTTTCCCCTTAGTTTTAGATAGAGTTTTACGGCGCTTGCACAATACATAGGTCATACACAATGTAAATGCCGAAGATTAAAGGTGTTACTAAAGAGTAACATACAAAGAAGAGAAGGGGGAGTGATAAGAACGCTAGTCCTGATTTCTCAATACAGACAGTGTTAGCGCACCCCCGCCTCCCATTAGATTTACTCTGCGTCAATGGGCTCATAAAACATTTACAATCAAACAGAACGAATAGGAACTTCAACCTCTTCCTGAATTTCTAGCTTGTTGTCATCACGGCCACGTCAACCACCATAGGCCATAGAAAAGAAAGTGGGTTTAGGAGCTACGTATGTCTGCCATATTGTTATTGCCACAGACAATGTTCCTTCACAAACTAATTGAATTACTGACAACAGCATTTATTTGGATTTGTTCCTGAGGCGTATCACAAATGAAATGTCGTTGAAACGGAATGTGATAATTGTCCCAACGATTTACTGCAAACTTTTGGTCGTGAACGTGGGAGACATACACAGCAAGCAAAAGGTTAAGTAAAATGATAACTGAAAACTACCATAAGACAAAAAATGGTATATAATTGTTGCGTGCGTGGTGCGCAAGAATAACCATAGGATGCATCATCGTTGGATTTCCGGTGCACAAACACAAACCAGTGCCCTCGACATTAAGATCTTCCATTTCGAGACTGACATTTTATCCGCGATATAAGAAATGCGTAGAACATCGAAAGTTTTAACCTGTAACACGAGTGCAAGCTGTTATAGACAGGTTCAGATCAAACAGCTGTCAAAGGGGGGGGGGGGCACTTATGTTTGTCTCTGAACCAGTACGGCATTTGGGAGACAATAGACGTAATTGTATTTTCTCCTGGGCCTGGAGTTCTGGAGATCAATGATCGACAGAAACAGATCGTACTACCCCCTAGGCCTCTCAGGACAGAAAGGACAATCCAAGGCAACAGCGCCCGACAGAGGTAATGTTCCCTGGGCTTTTTTCAATATATTTTTTCCTGTTTGCCGTGGGGGTGGGCGAGTTGGGGTAGGGGTATCCTAGAGCTATGGACGGTTTCTGTTTGGTTACCACAAACAGGGCAAAACATTGTATGAGATGAAAGGGTATACCACATTGACAGCACGTGTTTCGAACCAATAAAAAAACATCTGCAGGAAAGAATTACTAATGTGTTCCTGTGTTTCTCAAAAAAATTTTTTTAAAGACGCAAGTTGGCAGGACAATAGTTGTGTGCAATAGTTGTAATGGAAACACCACGATGTTACAGGACTCTCGGAGAAGACTTCATGACATTTTCCGCACCAATATTAATCATCTTCAAAGTTGTATGCACGAACTGGCAGAAACGATTAGTCGGCGGCGCTAACATGCCTAAACACACAAAAGCTGGGCTAGATTTTTTTTTCTTTTACCCCGAGGCTCGTTTCCCTTCAGTTTATGAAGAGGATTTGCGCACACGTGCACGTATGGGTATATAAGAGAGAATATTACTGTGCGCGTGGGTTTAGTGTGTGAGAAAGCATGGATACACACGCGTACATACACAGACACACTCACATCCACCCATCCATCCATACAGACAGACATATCTAGACAGACAGACATATTTAGACAGACAGACAGATAGATAGACAGACACCCAAACAGACAGACTATACATTATTCTATCGGTGCGTTTGAGTGCTGTGTGCCACAGAGAGAGGAGAGAGAGAGAGAGAGAGAGAGAGAGAGAGAGAGAGAGAGAGAGAGAGAGAGAGAGAGAGAGAGACGGGAGCAGAGAGTGAATAGTTTCTTTGATTGAACGAAGAGAAGGCACAATAACGGCGATATAATGTTGGGAGAAAGGCAAGACAGATAGACAGAAACAACAGAGGGAAAGTAAAGAAGTAAGACCTACCAGTGGCACCATCAAATCAGTCTCCAAGCGTGTGAGAGATAATGCTTTTGTGAACGTATGTGCATGTGTGCAAGTGTGTGAGAAAAAGAGAAAGAGAGAGGGGAGAGAAAGAGAGAGAGAGAGAGAGAGAGAGAGAGAGAGAGAGAGAGAGAGAGAGAAGAGTGGAGGATAGAGGGAGGAGAGAGAGAAGTAAAAAGGGAGTATGCGACAGGGGTTTTCCTCTGCATTTAATTGTATCTTCTGTCCAGTTTTCTTT